CTTACTGTGCAGTAGTATGCCTGGGGTTATTTTTAATTTTATTAATTATAGGGTCCCAAGCAGGTGGTAGTACCCAGCCTCCTTCTGTATTGAAATTAGGATGTTTTTTAATTTCAATAGCCTCACGTATCATCCTAGGTAGGAATCGATGTTCTTTCGCGAGGATTTGTGGTCTATCAAATCTGATGTAATGGTTGGGGCCGTCTAGAATATGATCGCAAACTGCAGACTTCCCGGAACGTTGATGCTTCACGTCAGCTATGTGTTCTTTTACGAGGGTCCTAGTTGATCTCTTTGTTTGCCCTATATATGAGAGACCACAATCACAATCAAGCTTGTACACTCCTGCATCTTGTAGAGGAATATGACACTTGACGGATGGTAAGAACTGACTAATCTTCTTTGGCGGCTTGTAGAATGTTTTAATAGAAGCTCGCTTCAAGATGTAGCCAATCTTGTCTGTGACACCTCTGACATATGGTAGTATAGCAGGCACACGCTCGACTGGGGCCGGCTTCACTCGGTCACTGTGACGGAGGCGCGGGACCCGAAGCTTGTTGTCGTGCAGAACCTGCTTGACGTGCTGAAGCTCGGCGGCCAGGTGTTTGCTGTCACAGATCCCTCGTGCTCTCTGAAACAAAGATTTGCCCACGGTAGCTAACTGTGAAGGATGATGGTGAGATTCACCATTTAAGTATCGGTTTGTATGGGTCTTTTTTCTATACACAGTATGACCTATGGTGTTGTTAGGATTTCGGATGACTAACACATCTAGGAAAGCTAAGGAATTATTTGCCTCTAACCTCCATAGTAAATTGAATTTTAGGGTTTATGGAATTAAGATGTTCTAAAAATGCAGTTACTTTGTCTGATGGTAAAATTGTGAAAGTATCGTCTACGTACCGCTTGTAGAACCTTGGGGTAACAGGTGCAGTAAGGAGGGCTTTCTCCTCAAAGTCTTCCATGAATATATCGGCGACAATGGGAGATACAGGTGAGCCCATCGCAACACCATCTACTTGCTTGTAAAACTCTTCCTTCCACAATAGATAGCCAGATGTAAGGCAATGTCTTAGTAGCACTGCATATTCTGGTGGCATGTTATTTTCATCTAGTTTCCTAGTTATAATTGAGATGCAGTCTTCAACAGGTAGGCATGTAAATAGAGACTGAACATCAAAACTGACCAGGATTTCATTGTCAGCAAGACGTAGGTCTTTTATCTCACTGACAAAATGGTATGAATCCTTAGTATGTGCTCTTGTGTGTCCTCTGAGTGGTGATAATATTTTGGCTAAGTGTTGAGCCAATCTGTACGTTGGCGAATCGATTTGACTCACTATTGGACGTAATGGAGTGTTAGGTTTGTGTATTTTTGGTAACCCATACAACTTGGGAGGTTTTGCACACGAAGGTATTATCGAATTGACGTCTAGATTCAATTTCTCGGAGTATTTCTTAATTAGATCGCTTGTTGTTTTAAGCGTATTAGTTGTAGGGTCTGTTTTGACCTTACGGTATGTACTTTCATCCGACAAAAGTTGTTGTATTTTAAAATCTTTGTATATATATATATATATATATATATATATATATATATATATATATATATATATATATATATTGTACTCCGGGTTAACTTTGACATCGGGACCTCAGTCACCTCAGTCCCCCGTGACCATGGGTGCTGGAAAGCACCCGAAACGTCGGGTATTAAAATTAATATAAATAAAACGCGATAAAATCCGTAAAAGTAGTTTTAATCAAACTTTATTCAATTTATTTATTTCTGTTTCGGTTGCATTAATTGTTCGGTCATTACAATTTGTGCGCGATGTTCAGACCTATGTTTACTGTTCTTTTAATTGTTTACGTTTTACTCACATCTATATTTAATATTTTGTATGCTCGTAATGGATTCCTTTATTTTTGTTTGTAAATTGTTAATTTCTCGTAAGCGATTTCTAATCTTTTGAGAAATAAATACTATCTTAAACCTAAACCTAACATTTATTCAATTAAGTTTTTGAACTTTGAGGATAAGGAAAATTTTAATTTTAAATATGTATGAATTTATGTATCTATGATCCAAAATCTCTTTAATTAAAATTTACATAGTACAGATTATGTCTGATTATGTATCTTTATCTTCATTATTGTCTATCACTATATTCCACTGCTGATTATAGGTTTCCCTCCATAAATTGCCTCAAAGTAGATTTACTGAAGTTAATAGGCGAAAATATTTTATTTTTATTTTTGGATATGCGGGTTTTACCATATATTTCTTAAACTTACGTGGTAGAGCCTTGCTGCAGTTATATTAGTAGTATAGTTGTAGCACGAATGGGTCGGCTCGACCGGGGAAGGACCACGCTCTTACAGAATACCAGCATCAAATAGTAGCTTGATGCTGCTGTGTTTCGTATGGTGAGTGTAGAGAACCGGAGACCCTTTTTACTGGAAACGAGGCATTCCATCTAAGTCCTTACGGGTGACAACGCATCTGCATTTTGATTCGTAATCGAGATTAGATGTAGATGTCTATGGGCTACAGCAACCACTTAACATCAGGTGAACTGTGTGTTCGTTTGTCACCCATTCCTATTAAAAAAAAACCGCTGAGCATATGGTAAATCAGTACCCAAATATTGTTTGCTTACTGTGAAATTTCCAGCCAGCGCTACAATATGTAATTTAATAATATTTTATTCCTCTGCAAATGATTCTTCACCACAAATGATATGGGAGATACATTAGTGTTACACATCTTATAAAACAGTATTATGTTATTCGTGGGAGACTGGTGCCCGTGTAAGATCGAAGACTCGTATTGCAACAGGTCACCAGCACCAGGCTATCACGGCCATTTTCCACACTTAAATTTATTCATAAAATTTGATTTCAGAATGATTTTTAAGATTACTCTTTAAAATTATTACGAGAAATATTAGATTAGAAAATTAAAAATGTAGAATACGCCTGTTGCAAACGTTAGCCCGTTTTATCATCGTATCATGATATAGTATCAGTATCAGACATGCAACCGCTTCACACTGTTTTCTTTCAATTCTAACTACGTGGTAAATCAACATTCAAAATTAACCATCGCTCAAACGAGCCACGCTGCAGCTATATTATAGTTGAAGCATGAATGGGTCGGCTCGACCGGGGTAAGAAAACGCTTTCACAGAATCATCATCATCATCATCATTACAGCCCTTCACAAGTCCACTGCTGAACATAGGCCTCCCCCAAGTAATGCCACGAAACACGGTCCTGAGCCACCTGCATCCATCGACTTCCTGCATATCTTACCAGGTCGTCACTCCATCTAGTGGGGGGTCGCCCTACACTACGCCTACCGGTACGAGGCTGCCACTCGAGAACCTTTCTTCCCCATCGGTTATCGGTTCTTCGAGCTATATGGCCGGCTTGACTTCAGCTTACTAATCCGTTGGGCTATGTCGGTCACTCTGGTTTTACTGCGGATATCCTCATTTCTGAGTCCATCACGCAGAGAAACTCCGAGCATAGCCCTCTCCATAGCTCGCTGAGCGACCTTGAGCGTCTTCATACGGCCAGCAGTGAAGGACCACGTCTCACAGAATACCAGAGTGAAATAGTTGCTCAATGCTGCTGTTTCGTATGGTGAGTGTAGAGAACAGGTGACCTTTTTTACGGCAAGCGAGGCTTTCCACTTTAGTCTTTAGGTGTAACATAGCATATGCATTTTGGTTCTTAATAAAGGATAAACGTAAATATCTATGGGATACGGCATACATATACAATCAGGTGGCCTGTGTGCTCGTCTATCACCGTTATTCTAAAAAAAAAACTGTCATTGATCCTGACGGGGATCGAACTCGGTTTATTCGCGTACTTGTGAGTATATAAAGGTTAACGCGTGTCCCATGAGCTACCACCGTAATGTTTCCTAAAAATGTTAAGTTAAAATTTAATTATTTTCTACGTGGTAAAGCCACGCTCGAGCTACGTTATGCTTGCAGCAGGAATAGGTCGGCTCGATTAAGGACGCTTTCGGTCACGCTCTCGCAGAGTACCAGCGAAAACTAGCAGCTTAACACTGCTGTGTTTCGTATGGTGAGTGCTGAGAACTGGCGCTGGAACTTTTTACTGGTGGAGACATTCTGTACTAGTTCTCAGCGATGACAAAGCATTTAGATTTTGATTCTTACTCGAGTATAGTTTTAAGCGTCTATGGACCGCATTATCCACAAATATCATTGTTCACCCCTACTCTATAAATAAATTAGCGTTTATTAATAAGTATTACTTTTTATTTACTTTAACAAAATAAGCTTTATTAGAAAAAGGTTATGAGATTAAAAAAAAATTAATAACGTTTGTTATTCGTTTCCTAGACTCCACGACGAAATGTGAACTGAAATAAGTTCCTATAAACAATATGTTATTACGTATAACTTGTCATGAAAATACCTTAAAAAGATTGTTTAAGAAATATATTCAATAATGTTTCTTTTTTAATTTACTAACAAAATGTATGTGTTTTTCACACAATTTATAAAGTGATCACTTCACGGACTGCTTTCACACTTCTTAATATTATCATCATCAGTTCGTAAAACTCTATTTCAGGACATGGGCTTATCCCTAAAAATTCATTTTCCTAAATATATTTCTAAGGTCATAAGACATTTTTGACATATCGCATAACCTATTGCGGCACGTACGTACGCACGTGATGGATTTTCTTCTGCCACTATTCGGCAATTATTCCAAATTGAATCAGAGTTTATGAAGTAAAACATCATTCATATATAAACCGTTACGAGAATGATTACATACAAAATATCAGGCATACTAAATATCATAAAAAATAACTTAAAATAAGTCCCTTTTAAATATATAGGTAATAATAATTTAAATATACTAAAAATAATTTTATACCACAAAATGTAAAATTAAAAAATGAAATTTATTAAAAATATTCGTAATTTTTTCAAACCAAAGCTTACCGGTATACTGGCACGCCGCAAACTAAAACGTCGAAACACGCACACACTATTGCACTTTTTTTAAACAAACGCAACACTTATATAAGGGTCCCTTATTTTTGCTCATTACGTACACATTAGTGCTCGCGAGAGAAGGCTTTGCGCGCCGTCATGATTTTGCCTCATACTTATAGTTTCATCCGCACGGTGTAACACTTTCCCCTCCAATTCATCTCTTTTCGCGTCTCTTTTAATTTCACTTTAGTGTTCGACAATTTTCTTTTGTCAATGCTTAAATACATTTTGTCATTTTGTTAACGGGCGACATAACTTTTTATTGAAAGGCCTATTAAGCTTAGTAGGCTTCATGTTTTTGTTAATCAAGCAATGTCAAGTATAGAATTCGTACTACTTAATTTTAACGTAAATACAAAATGTATTGAGAATTGATCATTTAAATTATACTTACTTGGCTGAGAGTATCTTTATTTAACTGGGTCTTATAAAAAAAAAATCATTATTATATTCTTTGGTCGACTTCATAAAAAGAGGAAGTTCCTTGTAATTGAAATTTGAGTGTATGTTTTTTTAAATTCCCGCTATGAAAATCAACGATTTTAAAAAAATCGGGAAGTTATTGTTTTCACTTCGCTTTTCTAAAATCGAGTCTTCATCATAATTTGACATTTCGAGTTTCTGGGAAGTTATTCTGGCTATTTTGGCGATGATGTCCGTTTGTGTGTATGGGTGATGGTGTGTGTGTTTGTGTGTGTGTGTGTGTGTGTGTGTGTGTGTGTGTGTGTGTGTGTGTGTGTGTGTGTGTGTGTGTGTGTGTGTGTGTGTGTGTGTGTGTGTGTGTGAGTGTGGTAGTGTGTGAGTGGGTGAGTGTGAGTGTGTGAGTATGAGTGTGTTTGTGAGTGTGTAGTGTGTAGGTGTGTGAGTGTGAGTGTATGAGTGTGAGTGTATGAGTGTGAGTGTGTGAGTGTTAGTGGTGAGTGTGAGTGTGTGCGCGTGTGTGTGTTTGTGCATATGTTAACATGTAAACACCTCATAACTTCGTAACGTAGTGTCCGATCGAAAAGTAGTTATCGCGGTATCTTAAAGGGCCATTTAGACCGAATCGGCACGCATATTCTGAAAAAAAAAACTCAAAGATTCGAGGTTTTCTAATTTTCAAATATTCTTCCGGAATTATTACGACATCCTCATTTTTATCAATTCTATGACCTAATTAGCTCTTCTACTCAAAAAACGATGTCGATTGCTGTAAAGTGCATTCAAATCTGTCGATTCGTTCAAAAGATATCGTTGTCGAGAGAAATCTCAAATAAGTTTTTTCAAAATAACTCGAAAACATTTTTTTCATCACACATCACACACCTGTTGGAAATTAGAGCGCATTTGAAATTAGCGGGAACGGTTGGCCTGTAGGGTCAACCGATGTTTTTATTACAAAATGTTACGCGGTCTCTTTATCTATCGTTGATTTATTTTAGTGACTCATTTTTTATTTCATAGACTTTACTGCAAGTGTGACCCCATATAAATAAGCTATGATCAAATTATGATTTTGCTACTCGTATGATATATAAGTTTAATATTTTATCATTTAAATTTGCGTGGTTGCTGGAAGATTTTTTTTTTCACTAATAATATATATTATAAGTATAAAAGACGTCACAAAGATACAAATTAATTCCAAGCATTCAAGTTATTTCTAATTGCTTACTTTTTATTTTCCTTATTATATTTCATATGGCAGGCGGGAAAAGAAGTAGAAATTTAAATAAACACTGGAATGAAATTTTATGAAAAAATATATCAATTTAAATTTAAAATTAATTCGAAAGAGTTTGTAAATATAATAAAGAAAATGGAACAAAGCCGAAGCTGTGTACAACTATATGAGCTAAACGCCTAAATAATATACAATACAATGCACATTATTTTGTTACAAAGTTGCGGCCGACGTAAACAAAACGATTATTTTTTTGTGAAAACACTATCTAGCATTTTTATACAATTTTTCAGGATACTATATGGTGGAAAGGAATGGAATAAAACTAGTTTAGAGATCTTAGTTCATTGTTCATTCAAATGCATATTGGGCGTTTACGAGAAATTAAATTTATTCCGTAGAGCCATGCTGCAGTTATATTAGTTGTATAGTTGTAGCACGAATGGCTCAGCTCGACCGGGGAAGGACCACGCTCTCACAGAATACCAGCGTAAAATAGTAGCTTAATGCTGCTGTGTTTCGTATGGTGAGTATAGAGAACCGGAGACCCTTTTTACTGGAAACGAGGCATTCCATCTTAGTCCTCACGGGTGACAATGATGATGCAGATGCATTTTGATTTATAATCGAGGATAGATGTAGATGTGTATGGGCCACAGCAACCACGTAGTGACTCGTAGTAGCGGAATGGTCACATTAACTTTTTTTTGCACCAGCGTCGACAATAATGAACTTAATCCTTTGTCTCCACTGACGGTAAAAGCAAACCCAGTTTATAATCGTACCATTTCGTGAAAGCTAATTTACCATTTATTTAATAGTTAAATGAGGACTAAAATTTGACTGTTTTCTTGAGAAGTTTGATGGTTTGCTCTGCCCCCAACTTACTCGTCCTCTTCCACGCCTACTTCCACGTCCTCTTCTTTTAGGTCTTTCTACCTCCCCTTATATATTGTGAGTTTTCCTTATTACTTTCACATTCGGAGGAAGAATCTCCCGATGGTGAAGGTGTACACTATCATCTTCATCAGATGGATTTAAGTATTCAATATCTGAAGACTCCAATAACTCTTCGGTTTATTTATCACTGTTATCTAGAATCAAAAAGTTGTCTTTAATAACATCAATTGAATACCATAACCCACCAAAAGGCATAACAATACGGTAAAACCCAATTTGCAACAAAATGGACGTCACTTTTTGTAAAATAATAAAAAATTCTAATTGAGTTCCTTAAAAAAAAAATAACAATTGTTGTAAAATAATACGTTAATTCTTAATTTTATTCTCAATTTTATTTGATTGTCAGATTATATGAATAAATTATGATTCATACTCACGTGTATGCTGAATCAGCGGCATGATTTCTAAAATTACCGAATTTGAAAGATTTTTTATGTATTTCTCCCAAATTTCAAGTCTCAAGGGAAATATATGACGTCATTAATCGCTGCCATTTTTGTACTGTGAACACTGGCGCTTTCGAAGTTAGTTAATCTCAGTATTTTGATCATGTGATCAAAAACATAACAGCGTCTAGAGATATAACTGCTAGTTACGTTTGCGACAGCTTAGGGAGGGTTGAAGTGGAAAGAGACGAAGACTTTTTCCTATATTACTTTTATTTTCTAATTTACAAGTTAACTTAACTTAGACAATGTTAGTACAAAAGTACAAAATGTAGTTACAAACTAACTTAATTACTACTGAGCTGTCTTAACGATCAAAGCTAGGTTTATATGCTATGTTGAGATGTGCTGGGTTTTGCTTAGCAGGCGGTAGCTTCCTGATGGCACTGTGTTAATTATTCTTAAGTCACGCGCTATAATTTGCTAAGCCTGCGATGCTATATTTTATGTGACTTCCTGCTTACTTGCAAGGTCTCGGTAGGCATATGTAACTCCAGCCTCAGCGCAGTGACTATTGCAGCATAGAAAATGTCACCGAGTCGTCTCCGGAGGTTCCCACTCCTATTTTATTTGAAGAATTTTCTCAGGTTTGCTTTGGTTCTGTTTCTAACATGAATCGTAGTCGAGTTTACAGAGTGCTGATGTTCACGCATTCTGCCTCTATAAATGAGTTCTGTGTGGTTGCAATGAATGAGGATGGAGGTATGGGCACTACTATTGAGTACTATATAGCTAATTTATATAAGTCGAAGTTTTCTTAAGAAATTGGTAATTTAAAAAATTTGAAATTTAAATACGACCACTTGTTGCCTACCACTATAACAATATGCTGGATTGAGGATATCAAAGTACTCTCTAAATTTTACGTTGAGAAACTAATATGACATTCTTATCCTGATTGATTTGAAGTGTAATAATATGTTTATTCAGAAGTAGATTCGACAGAATAGTCATTACAATAATTGTAATCTGAGTCTAGGTCAGTGTTAATACAATCGTAAGCATTATAATTGGTGTCAACGCCTGGATATTCATTAACTTGCATTTCGCGAGTCTGAAAGTAGATATTAGGTGGTGAATTTCCGTGTTTAATTAAAGCTGTCTGAAAATCTAACCAACCGTCGGGTATTTAATTAGAATTGTAGTACATGCGACGATACCAGTTATTTTATTAAGTAGCCCGTTCAATAAACATACATTTGTGAATTCACTACTAAGCTTTAATTTTCTACAACATTTTTGTTTGTGTTTATTGCATTTACGCATACCATCAAATTGTACACGTGTCGATACACTGGTGCCGCTGTCTGCATGCGTAAGTAAGTAAGGCGAGAACTATGTCGATATTTTTTATCGATAAACAAATCATCATAGTCCGCATAAGTTCAGTGTTTAAAAGTGATTTTTAGTATTTTTTCATTCATTACCTACAGCCTTTCACAAGTCCGCTACTGAACATGATCTCCCCCAAGGTGTGCCACAAAGTACGGTTCTGATCCACCTGCTTCCATCGTTTACCTGCATGTTTTACCAGGTCGTCACTCCATCTAATGGGGGGGTAGCCCTGCACTTCACCCACCGGTACGAGGCTGCCGCTCGAGAACCTTTTTCCACCATCGGTTGTCGATTTTTCGAACTATATGGCCGTCCCATTGCCACTTCAGCTTACTAATCCATTGGGCTATGTCGGGCTCTCTGGTTCTAATGTAAATATTTGTCTAGGTTCTAATGTATATATCTCCGCAGCTCGCTGAGTAACTTTCAGCTTCCTCATACGGTCAGCAGTAAAGGGTTATATAAAATTATGATTTTATTAGTAAATATAATTATGGCCAGTTTTTGAAAGACTGATCAAACTCAGATTTTAATTCAAATTTAATCAAGAAGTTGGCTCTG